AACCGCTCTGATTTAGAGCTGATGCACACTGAAGTGTTTGCCCTTCTACCATGCACGGTGCTCTTGTGAATAGACCGAGTGGGAGACAATATCTCTCCAAGGCTGGATTATTTGCAATCAGAGTAGTTGAATCTAGAGCTGCTGGGGAATATCTGGACCGAGGATGCTTCCCAAGAAGGGAGGTGAATGGGATTTTCACATAGTGGAATAGCAGGAGACTACATTATCTTTGGCCAAGGGCCTTAGGGTTGGTGTGACTATAGGCAAGAACCTTGTTCTGTGAAGCAGCTACCTCTGAAAGCAGAGGTTATGTGCAGACATGGCATCCTCACTGCCATCTTCTCCTTGTTTCTGGTGCATGTGTGCCCACAAAGTGTTATCATTCATTTATTGCTAATAATATTCTGATTTAATTTCAGGCAAGTGAACAGATTTACTATGAAAATGTTCATGGTGAGAGACTTTCTTGATACATTGATTATTACTTTTCTCTTTCTGACTGATGACTAGAGTTGAAATGCAGCTTTATTGTGGGAGAGGTGGGGGGTGGCTGCTATTCCTGCAGGAATATTGCTGTTTAGGGTAGTTGTTCCTGAAAAGGAACAGTTGGAGCTTTAAGGATCCAGAGCTGGAATGAATGTGTGTCAGGCCAAAAGCAAGAAGCCAGCTGAGTGAAGGTACCTACTCTTACCCAGTCTGGCACTTTATGTTGCTCCTTGTGCTTGAGGACCATGAGTTTGGGGAGATGCTGGCAGGTAAAAGTGGTTTTGTTATGAGCAGTTATGAAACTCAGTAGTAAGTGCAGACAACTGCAGAACGGTTTGTTCTTTCCTTCCTTGCCTAAATTGGCACAAGAAGTGCTTGCTTTCCTCCGTTTCCTACAGAAAGAGCCTGGCACTTGACCCTCTGTGTTGCTCATTGCTTGTTGAGTGCTCAAATTTCCTGTTGCTTCGTTACCACCTCGTTTATAATTGGGCATTTCTAAGTAGCAGCAGGAAAATGAGCGATCAGATCTCTGTTCTGCAACAGCTGAAGAAGCTCATTGTTGGGATGTTCGTCTCTTCAGCAACAGTTTGTAAAGACAAAGGAGAACTCCAGAGATGGTGTCAGGAATATAAAGGTTGATAATTTACACACCTGGACACACTCAGCCTTTATCTTTCCATGGCAGTGTTTGTGCTGATGTACCTACAGAGCTCCCTCCGACCTGCAGCAGGACTCTTGTCAGAAATAGGAGTTGATTTTAGCTGGCCTCTCCTGCAAACTAACACACCTTGTAAACTCCAACCTGTAAGCAATGCAAGTGGGACACTGCAAGGTTTAACTGCTGAAATCAATTACATAGGAGAGTGGAGGATTTTAGGCCATTTTCCCACCATATCTGTTGAAATCCCAAGTGGGCTTTTTGTCACAAGCTGAAAAAACATCATCTCTGGATTTCTTGAATTGACAGCAGTGATAAAATCAGGGAATAACTAGGAATAACTAGGAACAATTTGCATTGGGTTTTCATGGCTGCAGTCTAATCTACTGCTCTGAAACACTGCAATAGGTATGAGGGTGTCAAAAGTCATTGGCACATCGAGGAGGGTGGTGTAAAACTGGTATTAAAGGCAGGTGCCTGAGGGGAAAGAGCATCCAGCAGTTCATGGCTGGTAAGGACACGGGCTTGATGGCCACTGTGTCTGGCTCTTTCAGTGCATTAGAAGGTCACCAGCAGGATGCTTTCTAGGCTAGTGTGACAAATACAACTCACCCCCAAGGGACTAAGGAAGTTTGTGTCTTTAGGTTACAGAACTGCAAGTGTCATCATTGCACTGACAGATGGAGAACTCCATGAAGACCTGTTTTTCTACTCTGAGAGGGAGGTGAGTGTCTTACATGTTCTTAACCAGAGAAATGTCTGGGCTTGCTGCTAGAGAGGCAAAAATGAAGGAAAAGCTTTTCCCTAGTGCCAAAACTTCACCTTGGTGCTCCTTAGATGGGAATGCTACATCTGGTTTGGAGAGGAGCAGTCAGGGAGCTGATAGAACAGAGATGCTGAACTTGGCTCTTACACTGTGAGTTGCTCCAGATCTTTGGGTTTAAGTTGCTCGGTGTAGAACTAGATTGATGCTTTTGTCATAAAGCACTTCACATCAGAACACTGCAGCAGTTTAAACTGTTCAATAGCAATGTGACTTGCTACCATCTTTCCTGGGAATGGGTTTTTGGTGCAGGTGCCCCTGTTGTAATGAAATGTGATTAAATGACTTCATGCTCGTGCAGACAAGAGCATTTACAACAGTTGCTTTCTGAACAGGAAATGCACCTTCATCTGCCAAGCAATGACATAGCCTGGCTGGCTCTTCTTGCTTTATTTTTACAAATACATGGTGAAGATCTGTCAGAAACCTGCATCCATCCCGTTTGCATCCATGTCATCCTGCCTTTCCTTGTTTCAGGCTAACCGGTCGCGTGACCTGGGAGCAACAGTGTATTGTGTTGGTGTGAAAGACTTCAACGAGACCCAGGTAAATGATGCCTCCTGTTTCCTGAGGTCCCTGGCAAAGCTGCACGTTGAACACATCCAGTGCTCCTCAAGTGGTCTGACTGTTTGACAGTGTGAGGTGTCTTGGTCTGGCTCTTGGGTTTAAGCCCCTTTCTCTCTAAATCTCCCTGTGTTGGAGGACTGTCCCTCTGCATGTCACGGTGTCTCTTGCTAATGTGAGAAAAGCAGAGGCAAAGACAACCAGAGAACAGCAAATCAGCCTGGCTTGAGCTGTAGGCAAGGAGGAGGTTGTGGGGGCTGGTTTTTCCCCATCAAATTGAGGTGTTGCCATAGGACACTTGGGTTTCAGTCCAGCTTTTCTTTCATGGGAAAACTATGCTATAAAAAGCAAACAGCTTTATTAGTGACATTAATATTTTAGTGGTTTCCTATAGCCTGACTTCTAAATTTATCATATGAATGTTGGTATGTCCGTGAATCATGTTTCACACCAAGGGTAACAGTTGACATTGTTTTCCTAACGGAGTGAGACACTTGTACAGCCCCTAAGTGCTGGAATAATTCTGGACTAGAGCTTTCCCAGGCTAACAAGGGTTCAAGGAGGAGTCAAAACAAATCTGGTTTAGAACAATCTTCTTTGAATCAAAACCAGACTAGTGTAACCCAGAGGAAGCACTAGAAAAGCAAAGAGGGAATAAAAGTGGCCAAGAGAATAGATCTGAAGTAGCAGACCCCAAAGCCATTTAGGTGCTGAAGAAATCACCTGGAATTAGATGGCACTGTCTGAATTCCCAGGATGCCCAAGAAGGACTATGGGGAATGAGTTGAGGAACCTGTAAACATCCTGGTTTACAGAAGCTGCTGTATCCTGGCCGCTGCAAAGCTGCTTTACTGGAGCAGGCAGGGGAAGGCTGCCTGGTGCATCCCTCTGGATGCAAACCAGGAGTTGGCACTTTGATGCTTTGCTTGGGAAGGGAGAGTTGTGAGTGACAGGAGCTGGGAAGGTGCAGCCAGTGAGGCTGAGGGAGGAATGTGTGGGCTGCTGCCTCCCCTTTGCAGTGCACAGGAGATGCCAGGAGCCTGCTGGGTTGATGTTACCTCTGCCATGGGAGAGAATTGCTATAACAAACCTTGGCCTGGCAGGACTAGACCTTGGTTCTGCTCCAGCAGATGCACGGAGAGCTCATTACTTCTACTTCTGCTTAACCCTTAGCATGCTACTCACAAGTGAACCCACGTGTAGCTCTTTACTGGTAATGCCCTGGCTCTCCTTATTACCACCATGA